TGAGTCGACTGGTTTTGGTCCGAAAAGGCTGCGATGCAGCGTTCCTCCTTTATTCCCAATCGAACATGGTTGAACAAGCGGTCACGTGCTGCTGCGTACGCCAGTCACCTGGTCACCGTGCCTGCAGGGTACAACTTACTAGCCTGTTTGACCTTTTTTGGGTGCAGTCCTGTCACTCGAGTTGAACCTTGGTGTGAAAGTTGTCACCTGCTGGCGTGGTGACCAGGTGATTTGGGCACCCAGGAGCACGTGACCGCTTGTTCAACCACGTTCGATTGGGAATAAAGGAGGAACGCTGCATCGCAGCCTTTTCGGACCAAAACCAGTCGACTCAGCGTCCAAAAGACTACAACATATGGGCCAATCGCGGTCATCCGTGCTTTTATAAGAACGAAATGGCGCTTTTAGTGACATTTTACATACAAATCCCCATCTAGTAGGGCGCAGTCACCCAGTTTCGGTGGAAGTGCGCGAGTTCGATTGGGATTCAAGTAGGAAGGGAGCGTCTCAGCTTTCTCGGACCAAGACCATTCGACTCAGCACCCCGAAGACCACAACTGGTGAAATTTTAATTTTTGCCTTAACTTCCCCTTTAAATCTACAATCACGTGTACAATGTACGTGTACATGTACTTGCACTTCGACCTTAGAAATAATTGAATTCTATTGCAGAACTAGCTGCACTACTATCGTGTTACATGCATTCCTTTCACAGCGGGGTGTGCTGGTTTTTTTTTGTCTTCACACTACATGTCTTGACATTTCTCCAGCAAACTCGACGCTCACCATCACTCTGAAGTCAGGTTTCTTTGATTGGATGTTGTGGTTGTTGTTGGCTGCAGTGTGCAGTGATCACCATCGACTCGTGACGTACATTGTACTGTAGATGTACGTGTGCAAGTATACTTACATGTACACTGTACATACATGTAGTAGTAGTAGTAGTAGTAGATTTTATTATTTTACTAGGGGAGTCCCAACAGGCGTTGCCTTTTTACTGGGAACCCTAGGTGAATTTTTACCATGTTTACATACAGAGTAAGAGACGGGCATGTGGATACCTGTTTAATGCAATTTAGAGTCACAGTGTATTCCAGTGCTGGTGTTATCGCCTCACGTGTCGTGGTTGTAGCACTGCTTTAGCCTACATTTAACATTATAATTGCCCTATTAGCCCCATCCCTCACACAAACAAGTCAACAAAGAGGCATCTTTGGATTGAGGAGTGCTGGTTTGGAAACAACTGGTTTGAAGCTCAAAGTAGAGCTGGTGTTAGCTCAGAGCAGAGCTGCTGTTAGCTCAGAGCAGAGCTGCTGTTAGCTCAAAGTAGAGCTGCTGTTAGCTCAAAGTAGAGCTGCGGTTAGCTCAAAGTAGAGCTGCTGTTAGCTCAAAGTAGAGCTGCGGTTAGCTCAAAGTAGAGCTGCTGTTAGCTCAAAGTAGAGCTGCTGTTAGCTCAAGGTAGAGCTGCTGTTAGCTCAAAGTAGAGCTGCTGTTAGCTCAAAGTAGAGCTGCGGTTAGCTCAAAGTAGAGCTGCGGTTAGCTCAAAGTAGAGCTGCGGTTAGCTCAAAGTAGAGCTGCTGTTAGCTCAAAGTAGAGCTGCTGTTAGCTCAAAGTAGAGCTGCGGTTAGCTCAAAGTAGAGCTGCGGTTAGCTCAAAGTAGAGCTGCTGTTAGCTCAAAGTAGAGCTGCTGTTAGCTCAAAGTAGAGCTGCGGTTAGCTCAAAGTAGAGCTGCTGTTAGCTCAAAGTAGAGCTGCTGTTAGCTCAAAGTAGAGCTGCTGTTAGCTCAACGTAGAGCTGCAATGCTAAATGGATGTAATATAGCGCAAGGCAGAGCCGCAGCAAATAGCTAGATAACACCAGTTGTGAGAGTGGACCCGATTAGTGGGTACGATAATTATGATGGTGTGAATAAGTTGGATAGGGAGGGATGGTGGGAAAAGAAACACTGCTGAAGCACGATCCGTTGTCTGGAAGAGCACAACAGGGCAAGCAAGATTTGTTTTTCTTTTCCGCAAAATGGGCTGGTGCCATTTGTGATTACGCAGCAAAACAAAGCGCATGACGTCAGTCGTGAATGCAGTACAAAGCAATGCAGTGCAGTGTGTGCGCTAGTTCGGATTGTTGCTAACAAGTACTAGCACAGCTAGTACACCATATACATGTACAATGTACATGTAACTTGCGAATAGCACTATTATGTTTTATCGCCTGATGAGTGTTTTTTGAAACACGAAACTCGGAGTTACGAGAAAGCTTTTTGGTGTCTGTTGTTCTGCCTTGTGTAATGAAATTATTTACGTACTTTTCCAGAGTCCAATGCTCACGCCTATTGTTTAGTTACAATGCGTAGCAGCCCTGTTCACAGTCATGGCTTTACTGGTCATGTTCAAAAATGCACTGGCCAACACACCCAGTCATCACAATGTGACATTAGAGAGGTTTTGCAGAGCGAACGTTCGCGCGAATTTTCGTTTGACGTCACGAAAAGCGAAACTTCGTGCGAACGTTCGCAGTTTTGAACGCGAAAGTTGCAGGAAACGCGAAACAAACTTTCGCAGTAATTTTCGCTCTTTGTGGACCGCTGGTCAGCCTGGCCTGGTGCACGGTGATCTTCATGCAAGTATTAGTTGTGCTTTATCTCTACTCTTCAAAGTCTCTTGGCTTGGTCCGCGAGTGCTAGCTTTCATACTTGTGGCAGCCCGTGTTGCTTCATCTCCAGAACCATCTCCGATCTCCTGCTTGCTCGTCTTCTCACTGCTCAGAGTCGGTTACATCAATGATGCCTTTTGAATCTCACGTGTTGATGCACAAGATTACGGCACAAGCCAACCCGACCCGTTTGTCTGTGGGTCTCCGGCCATGGACAACGTAGTCAAAGAGCTCTCGTCTCAGGCCGTGACTCAGGCCTCAGGGTATCTGGTGCGCGTGCCGCCACTCGCAACAAATAAATAATCGGATGGAGACGACTTCTCAAAAACAAGCGAGTGCACACGAACATTTCTTGGAGCGAGATACATGCAAACTTTCGCAGTAATTTTCGCTCTTTGTGGACTGTTCGTGCACGGTGAGCCACCCTCAGTCCTCATGTTTGTGCTTGATCTCTACTCTTGGCTTGGTACGCGGGTGCTAGCTAGGCTATACTTGTGGCGGCCCGTGTTGCTTCTTCTCCGGGACCATCTCCTGCCTGCTCGTCTTCTCACTGCTCAGAGTCGGTTACATCAACGATGCATCGATGCCTCTTTGAATTTCAGGTGTTGATGCGCCAGATTACGGCACAAGCCAACCCGTTTGTGACTGTGGGTCTCCGGCCATAGACAAGGTAGTCAAGGAGCTCTCGTCTCAGGCCGTAACTCTAGGTGCCACCACTCGCAACAACAAAAATAATCGGATGAAGACCACTCACTGTACTTCTCAAACAAGCGAGTGCACGCGAAAATGTCTTGGAGCGAAAAACATGCAAAACACAAATTTCGCGCGAACGTTCGCAATAGTTTTCGCAACCCGGAACGCGAAAATCATTGCGAACGTTCGCTCTGCAAAACCTCTCTATTGCAATTGTGCTGTGTCCTGTGCAATGCATGCGTAAGGACAGCAGTTTCCGCCAAGGGCGACTGCCCACTGCAAGTGAGCATAAGATGGAGGCGAAAAAACTTTTGAAACTACCGCCTTGGCTTGAGTCGCGCAGGGTCCTTCGCGCCACAATTTCATCCGCATGAGGGTGGAAACGCTATACAGTAAAACCTGTAACTAAAGACCACTGTGATTAGCGACCAGCCTGGTACAGTAAAATCTGTGACTAACGACCACTCCTTGGGGCCAGAGAAAGCGGTCTTTATTGGCAGGTGGTCCTTAGTTAGAGGTTTGCACCGCACAACCATTATAATAAATGTGAGACCGTCCGTGCCTGGCGAAGTGGTCTTTAGTACCAGGCTGGTCGCTATTCACGGTGGTCTTTAGTTACAGCTTTTACTGTGCTTCAGACCACTTCGCCAGGCACAGACGGTCTCACATTCATGAACAAGAGTATGGTTGCGCGGTGAAAACCTCTAACTAAGGACTACCTTCCACTAAAGACCGCTTTCTCTGGCCCCAAGGGGTGGTCGTTAGTCACAGGTCTTACCATACATGTACTTATACATGCAGTGACAGGCATATCTTTGCTCTGAGATCACACCCTGCAATTTCGCTACTGGTATAAACCAAGAACACATCCAGGAGCGATCACAGAATACACGATTCACGTTAGGAGAAGTCTAGAAAAAACTCCCCTAGAATAAAGAGGGTCAGAACCGGGTCTAAGATCCACACGGTTCAGGTGGTCTCAACAGACTGGGGCTCTACCAACCGTGGATGGTTGTAGAAAGGTCACTGTTTGCGAACACGGTGTCCTCAACCTTGTTACATGCTGTCAACCAACAGCATGTTTTTTTAAAACGAGGTTCAGAGGGTCAAAAAATGAATTTCTGAGTTTTGAACTTTTTGCTATGGAATCTTGTCTTAGGATATTTGAAGTGCCAGAATTTCAAATTTGAGCGTAATCGGTTGAGTAGAAGTGGAGTTATGAGCTAAAGTATGTCGAGATAAATTTCAAATGTAAAATACTCAAATGTTTACAATTGCCTAATTATTTTTGTGATTTTGGTTTAGTCCAAAATCAAGCGTTTTTGATTCAACTTCGCCAGGTAAGCGACCCTGGCTTCTGTTTTTGTAGTCATGGAGAGCTGCCACGTGCTTCCTTGATCGCGTATGACGTTCTGCAGCGCCACGACGCCACGCGAAGGAAAAAATCTTTGTTTTTTTGTTTGTGATCGTGAAAGTGAACATGGGGAAACGAAAGAGAAGCACCAGCAGCTCTGTAAGTGGCCATAGGAGGAAGAAAAGGAGATACTACGCCCCAAAGCAGTCAAGCTCTGTACCAGTTGTGGAAGAAGGCACCGTTGAAGCGGCGCAGAGCGCTTCCTCTCGGAAGATTTCGTCGAGGCCAAAATGGCTTAGTGATTATGGTCATGGAATTTGAATCTGAGCTTGTGTGCTCGAGTGACAGTGATTCAGACGAGTCGTCCAGTGATAGCTGCCAGGAGTATGATGATGATACATTCTATCCTGATGTTGAGGAGTCTGTCTCTGGCTACAAGATCGTGGATTTACAGTGTCTCCAGGAACTGATGGATCAATTTACTGTCTGTAGGAAGTGCACGAAGGGAGACATGATCATCAGTAACTGTCATGACACTGGACTTGGATCGACCCTGCGACTTCAATGCGCTTTGTGTGGACACAGTGGAAGTACGTCTCTGAGCAAGAAAATTGGCAGGAGCTATGATCTGAATCGACGATCTGTACTGGCGATGCGATGCATTGGACGTGGCCATGGTGGACTCCGAAAGTTTTGCGGCGTAATGAATTTTCCTGCTACTGTAACGGAGAAAGCGTACCGCAGCCACCAGGAAGTTGTCCTTGCTGCAGCCGTAAAGCTAGCTGAAACTGACATGGTTCAATCCGCAGCTGAGTTGCGTGCCATGACAGATTCCACCCACGTCGCAGTGACGTTCGACGGCACTTGGATGCGCAGGGGATATTCGTCTCTGTATGGTGTGTTCGCGTGCATCTCCTTCCAGAGCGGCCGTGTACTGGACATCACAGTGAAGGGTCGATACTGTCACGAATGTAAGATCTGGACTGAGAAGAAGCGAAGTGGTGCAATCACGGAGGAAGCCTTTTCAACCTGGCTGGATAATCACAAGTGCAGCATAAACACAGCGGCATCTGCACCCGGTATGGAGAGTGAAGCTGCGTGCGATATTTGGCAGCGGTCTGTGGGCACACGCGGAGGCCTCATGTACACGTCGTACATCGGAGATGGCGACTCCAAAGGCTATAAGAAGGTGTGCGACCTGGACCCTTATGATGGTGTTGCCATCAGCAAGGAAGAATGCATAGGCCATGTGCAGAAGCGTGTTGGCAATAGGCTCCGGGAACTGAAGCGGCAACACAAGGGCATGAAGCTGAGCGATGGCATCGGTCTCAGTGGAAAGGGCCGTCTCACTGACAGGCAGATGGAGCGTCTCCAGACCAATTATGGCAATGCCGTCAGGAGGAATGTCGGAGACCTGCAAGCAATGGCCAAGGACATCTGGGCTGGGCTCATGCACTGCTGCTCAACAGATGCTACGCCGCAGCATCAATTCTGTCCGGAAGGTCCAGACTCGTGGTGCAAGTGGCAGCAGGCGCAGAGTGGTGCACGCCAAGCTTATGAGCATAAGAACCCTCTCCCAAAGGCTGTGTTAGAAGTCGTGAAGCCCATCTACATGCAGCTGTCCGAACGAAGTCTGCTGGAGCGCTGCCAGATGGGTGCAACGCAGAATGCGAACGAGTCGTTCAACAACGTCATTTGGAGAATGTGTCCGAAGGAAGGCTTCTGCTCCGTCGAAACCGTTCAGCTGGCAAGTAGTTTGGCAGTGCTCAACTTCAACAACGGCGCTATCACCTTGCTCAGTGTGCTGAAAGAGTGTGGATGCATTGATGGCAATCACACGAAGGCAGCGCTTGAGCTAGAAGTCCAATGGCGTGTGAAGAAGTCCCTCCGCAAGTCATCAGCAGTGGAAAAGGAGAGCAGGAAAAGGAGAAGGAGGCAGAGGAAAGGCTGGGAGGAGACCACTATTGAGAAAGAGGGCACTACATATGACAAAAGGTGGTTTCTGAATGGCAACTTCAGGTCAGATATGTGAAAATATTTCAGTAGCACTCCACTATCAGTCCTTTTTATGTAATTTTTAGGTGTATTTTTCACTGATTTTAGGGGTATTATGGGCACTCCGCGCAGTTTTTTAGAAATGCTGTACATATCTTGTATGTAAAAGTATATATTTTCTGGTTCTGTACGGTCCATTCTAGATCCGTTGCCTTCTTAGGACACAAGATCTTCTGTTAGAAACAAAATAATGGACCTTGAACTTCAGTCAAGTTATCTTGCGCACGTGCATTGTTATTTCAAGGCTGCAGTGGCACACCATTGGAACTGTAATCGCATTGTGCTTAGGCAACATCCCTAGCCCCTTGGTACCTGATCATTTTGCAGTGTTATGTGTTTATCTTCAAGTGACCATGTTTGAGAAAAACTGCGCAGAAATCATGCCCGGCTATCGCATTTTTTCCAAAATTGCTTTCCTGCATTTCTCCATGATACCAGTATACTTTCCACAGTTCTTGGTTGCAATGTCGTCAGTGGATGTCAAGGAACATATACTGAAAATTTGAAGGAATTCTGATCTTTGAGTGCTGAGATTCAAGCGAATTTATAACGGGCACCGCAATATGGCCAGCGAACCTCCCGTGGCGAGTGTATCCAAGCAAACGTGAAGAACCTCCAAATGTCCAGGCAAAAAAGGCAGCAATGACTTGGTAGTAACCCCGCATACCAGCCGACGGTGTTGTGCAGTTCATGTCATTACTTTGCAGTACATTTTGTAATACTAATAGTGCACTGGTATGCTGGAATGGACATGCAGATACGTAAATGTCCATGTACTTGCAGCTGATTGCATGTTCCATGCCGGTCACACATCTGAGAACAATCAGCTTAGCCGACAGGTGAGAATCGGCATTACCCGAAAACAAGACGCTCTCCACGGCGCGCAACGCAAGAGACGCGCAAGAACTCGAGGAAGAAGCGATGCGTTGCGCTGCCCGATATGTGACTGGGTGTATTTCTTGGCCGTGCCCCTAGGTGATTGCGTATTGCTCCGTTCATCGATAGGGAGTTCTGAACACCGGTGCAAGGAGAGATGCGGATCTTCGTGCATCTGACTGAGGCGTTGGAACTGAACGGGAACATTCGGGATTCTCTACCTGACCTGAGTGGAAGCATGCAACTCGAGAACAAAGGCAGGCTTCACGACCTCCACGCGAACAACGTTACGTACATGTATTAACTCCCGTTTTTTAGGATAGACTTTCTCAATCAAATTCCCTCCGCCTATCCACCAACTACTAGCATAGGCTGCCTTGCTGGTTCTGCAGTATCAGCAAATACAATGTACATGTCCGACGGGATAGCTCCACTAGGAACCAACTCTCCCTTCCTCTAGCCCGCTCTTCAGCCTTGCTACACTCCCCCCCCCCCCCCGTTTCATTGGCTTTTTGCATTGGCTTAAGCTGCACCAGGAGACAAAGGGCCTTTCTACTTTAACAGCATTCAGGAACGCCTTGCTTTACCAGTAGACCACAATTTTAGTCCATATTTGCTTCTTTCTTCTTTTCCTTTTCTTTTTGACTTCTTACTTTTTTCCTTGTTAGCCGTGGTTGCCGTGGTTGCCGTCTTGTAATTTAGTGGAACCTGTATTGAGTAACTGAGTTTTATGTTTCGTTACATTGTCGACAGATCTCCTGTGTACCGGTTTTGTGGCACAATGATTATAGCCATTATATTTTGTCGTCTCCATTCTTGTGCAATCATGCATATGTAGGTTGGTTCTCTTCATGTTATTGTGACCAATTTCATAGATGTTGGTTGCCTTGTTGCTTTCTCTCCCCTCTCCTCTCACCCAAGCCATTCTGCATAAGCGAAGCTGTGGACGCAGCATACTGCTGCTACACTTCAACGCGGGAATGCGTATAATAATAATAATAATAATAGCCGTGGTTGGCAATAAAAAGCTATTAAAAACCCTGCAATCGCCACGCAAAGTGGTCATTGGCTACCCCAGCCATGTGTTGCTTGGAATAAAACAATAAAAAATAAGAATACATGTAGGTGCGTGTTTACCTGCTGCTGCCCATGTCTCCTGACATGCATTATCCACGTGAATGAATAGTGGCGGTCATTTGTGTTTCTCAAATTCTTTTTTCATGTTGGCCTATGACCTCTGGCTGGTTGGTGGATCCGATCTATCCTTCCGCACCAAGGTTCAACTCGAGTGACAGGACTGCACCCAAAAAAGGTCAAACAGGCTAGTAAGTTGTACCCTGCAGGCACGGTGACTAGGTGACTGGCGTACGCAGGAGCACGTGACCGCTTATTCAACCATGTTCGATTGGGAATAAAGGAGGAACGCTGCATCGCAGCCTTTTCGGACCAAAACCAGTGGACTCAGCGTCCAAAAGACTACACCATATGGGCCAATCGCGGTCATCCGTGCTTTTATAAGAACGAAATGGCGCTTTTAGTGACATTTTGAATAAGAGTTGGTGGACAAGCCGTTGATTATTCACTCTCATTGTAATATCAAAAAGTATTCTTTCTAGACCAAAGAGTGGTATATTTGATAACATTTAATAACGATAGAAATTTTTACGATACTTATTTATTTATTTATTTATTTCTGCACCTCGTGGCATGTCAAGACAGCCAATTGAATTGAGGAGAGGGTGAGACCAACCACGGAAGAAGAGAAAAAAAGAAAATTAAGAGCACGTACACAAAGTGGGAAGGGATTAGCAACTTACAAAGCAATGGGATGCTCAGCGAGCTATGCAGCGGAAGTGGTGACTGTGACTTTGTTTACTGGGAGATACTGAAGTGCTGTCTGACGAGGGTACGGAATTTGGGCATATCTGGAGCTTGTCTAACACTGGGAGGCAGTTGGAGCCACGTGGAGTAGGAGGAAAAGAAAGGGGAATTTACGAATAGGGTAGACCTAGCTAGGGGGAGACGAACGCAGCTTCGGGTGGTGCCACCTGAATTGAACCAATTAAGGGACTGTAAATGAGCAGGGTGCTGGTCAAGGAAAATTGAATGCGCCAGGGTGCACTTGGAAGCATCAAGGTAATGTTGCAGAGTGGTAGTGGATGCAGCAGCATACAAGTCTAGATTTGAGGTATAACGATCAGTACGGAATATGATTCGCAGTATACGGCGATGGAGAACTTCTAATTTACCTATGTGGGTTTTGTTAATGGTGGACCAGGCAGGGAAGCCGTACGTGAAGAGGGGAAGAATGTATGATTTATAAAAATTAATCCGGCAATTTTTGGGCAAATGGGACAAGTGACTTGACATTATGCCGACAGATCGGCATACTTTGGACGACACATGATCAGCATGGTGAGACCAGGAGAGGGCGGAATCTATGACAATGCCAAGGTGTTTATGGTGGGGCGCTACAGAGATAGGGTGACCGGGATCATCGGGAAAGTGGAAGATGGGCACTGGATCTGTGGGAGGGGGAAACAGGAGGAGCTCGGTTTTGGTCACATTTGGCTTAAGGTACCAAGTGCTCATCCAGTGAACAATGTCGTTGATACAGGTCTGAACTTTGGGGTACAGGGTGGCGTGAGATGGGGAGGAAGCAAGGACAGTGGTATCATCTGCAAACAAAGAAATATTGGGAATTGAATAGGGGAGGTCATTAACGTATGTGAGGAAGAGCAGGGGACCTAAAATGGAGCCCTGGGGCACTCCGGATGTCACAGACTCGGGGTCAGATAAGGTTCCATTTACTGTGACGCACTGATTTCGGTCCAAGAGGTAGCTAGTTATCCAGGCGAGTAGGGAGCCGGAGACACCATGGGCACGAAGTTTGGCGATCAGGCCCTTGTGCCACACGGTGTCGAAGGCCTTGGAGAGGTCGAAGAAACAGATGCAGGAGACCTGCCGCTGGTCTTTTAGGGAGCAGAGGTCTTGGATTATGCGGGATAATTGCAGGGATGTGTTGTCCTTACGACAGAAGCCAGATTGTGCGGGATGAAGAAGAGGGGAGATATGGTCGTACAAGCGGTCGTACACTATTCTCTCTAGCAGTTTGGAGACGCAGGACAGGAGGGAGATTGGTCGGTAATTAGACGGGTTGTTCTTGTCGCCTTTATTTTTGTACACTGGAATGACAGTGGCTGACTTCCATCGTGACGGGAATGTGCCGGATGAGAGGGAAAGGTTAAAAAGAATGGAGAGTGGGCGGGCAATTGAGTAGCTCAGTTTCCTGAGGATCTCATTGGTGATCCTATCAGCTCCGGGGGATTTGTTCAGAGGCAGTCTTGCAATATACTTGTGAACAGTCGATGAGGTGATGATCAGGGAGTGCAATGTAGTTGCTGGTGGAGGTAGAGAGGAAATAGTGGGAATAGGAGCATCGGGATCAACCTGTAAGCCAGCACTAACGAAGTGGCGGTTCAATAAGTTACCAATGGATGCCGGAGAGGTGCTTGTTCGACCATTGGGGCCCACCATCTTCGAAGGTATAACCCGGGCGCTGGTAGGATTTCGCAGTTGACGAATGAGCACAGGGAGGGATGGGAGGCGAGGGTTTGTGGGAGATATCGTGGCACGGAGGTTGCGGATGTAGCAGCGATGGCAGGATCTGGAAAGGCATTTTACATAGTTACGTTGGTGTTTGCATTTGTTGAAATTTGTAGGGGATGGGTATTTCCGGTAGATGCTGTAGAGATCGCTCTTGACTTTAATAGCTGCTTTCAGTGATGGAGTCATCCAGGGGCAGGGTTTGTGGCGTGATTTCCGACGAGGAGGTGAGGATCTTCCTATATATAGGTCCAAGGCACCTTCAAGGATGTCAGTGAATGCGGAGACAGCCGTGTCGATGCAGTGGGAGGCAAGGACCTGAGACCAGGGTACAGCTGCGAGAAAAACATTCATGGCATTCCACATGTTATCCGTGGCACTCAGGACATTGTATTTTTGTGTAGATGGTGGGCTACGGCAGGTGCTGGCTGCTGTGGGGGAAGACTTTGAGGAGGAGAACTCAGCCAGCAGGACGGCATGGTCTGATGCGCCAAGAGGAGCCAGGTGTTGAATGTGGTTGAGTTGGTTAGGGATGTTGCTCGCGATAAGGTCTAGACAGCTGCCAAGTCCATTCGAGCGGAGGTGGGTGGGAAAGGTTACCGATTGGGTCAAATTATAGCATGAGAAGAGGTTGTCAAGACTCAGACCCTGTGCATCCGTTTGGTCAGTTGAGCACCAGCCGGAATACCTACAGTTGAAGTCGCCTGATATCACAAGGGCTTCGGGCTTCCTTTGTGTTGATTGCAGGGCTATTTGGAGGCGGTCGAGAAAAGTCGAGAAGTCATCCGTCGACGGGGAAGGAGCACGGTAGATACAGGCTACTGTTAGGTGGGTTGTTGGCAGGTCAGAAGGTGAGATAAGCTTATGTTCAGCGAGTGTAAGCCGAAGTGCTAGCGCTTCCAAGCCCGGTTGCTGAAAATCCGGTAGCTGATCAATGGAAGTGCACAGACCTTCACGAACTAAGATTAGAACTCCTCCATACCCCCTGTGTGGGTCACGGTTCTGTCTATTTTCTAAAACAGGTC